CCGCGGGTACCACGGGCGTCTGGCACTCGGTCGGCGGCTCCCGTTTCATGGGATTCCGAGCTCCCCTCCCGCGGCGCGCAGACCCGGGGCCTGATCTAGGGGGGGTCACCGCGCGCGGGCTTCATCTTTTCCAGTTGTTTGTTTTTGAACTTCTGCTCCCACTTTGGGGGGTTCGCAGCACATCGAAGTGATACAGTTGAGATTTTCACAGACTCACGCATTTTTTTAGAGCACCGGTCTGGATGCAGCTGAAGAGAAACTGTGCGTGGAAACACTGGCTCTAAACACACACACGTGCACACGCACACGCACACGCACACACCCCGCAAAAGGGGATTTTCAGTGAAGGGAGGCACCCATGTGAAAATAAAATCCAATTTGTTGCTTCACTTGCGTTTTAATCATCGCCGCCGAGATGCCTTAGGAGCCGGGAAGCCGGTGCCGGCTGAATATTCAAAATATTCAAATCTGCAAATGAAACCAAGCGGTGCAGCGAGCTGGAGCGGAGCGGGGAAGGGCCCGACCTCTCAGCTCCTCCCTGCCCGGCGGGGCTCCAGCACCGGGGTGACCTCAGCCCCTTGGCAAAGGACAGGAGGATTGTGTTCGCGCAGAAGGAAAGTTGCTGACGTCTTTAGCCATCGATGTCGTGCAAAGTCGGGGCGTCTGTAAGAGTTGCTCCCCCGCACGCATCCTATTAGCAACGATTTCTGTTCATTTGCTTCTGAGACCAGCAGCCCATGGGCAGCTGGGATCAATTTTTTGGTCCAAGGCGACCGTCCTCCTGTCGCACACAGAGGCCGTCCGCACCCGGGTTGCCCCTGGTCCTTGCACGTGGCTGTCTTTGGTGACATCAAGGATTGTTCGCCTTCATGCAGCTCAGTCTCGCCACCCCTGCTTTATTATTTACCGCTTCGCTGGCAGGCCTGGGTAGACGCGGCTGCACCACACGCCCAAGACATAGGTGCCAACGTGTTTTCTGCCTCCTGTGCTCCTCCCGGTTCCCACTGCATCTGCAGGAGGAATTTACTGAGACTCGCGGGGACGGCAGCACAGCTTCGCCCCCACGTCGGAACCAGACTCAGGTCCTGCTCTCGTGTCTCTGGGGCTTTGCACCAACGGGCAGTTTTCGGACCTGCAGTTCCCCGTGGGAGAAACGTGAGCTGGGCCGTCACCGCCCTGTTCCGCGTCCCCTCCCCAACCTCCCCTTTTTCATGGCCTTCTTGACATTCTACCTGCAACATTTTCTTCACCGCCAGCCTCATCACGAGATTTTCTTCCTTGTGACTTTCATCCACATCATCATCATCATCATGACCACCATGTTTCTTCAGGATGAGCTTCATCTCTATCTTCATCATCATCACCATGTCCTTCCTTGACATCATTTTCATCATCAGCAGCAGCTTCGTCATCACCACCCCCATCATCATTGTCGTCATCATCATCGTCGCCGCCATCTTTTCTTCAGGATCATCTTCACCACCATTTCTTCCTTGTCATCACCTTCATCATCACCATCGTCATCATCATGACCACCATGTTTTCTTCAGGATCCTCTTCATCACCATCTTCATCATCACCGTTTCTTCCTTGTCATCATTTTCATCCTCACCACCCCCATCATCATCATTATCACCACCACCACCCCCATCATCATCATCATCACTACCACCCCCCCATCATCATCATCATCACCACCACCCCCATCATCATCATCATCACCACCCCCATCATCATCATCACCACCACCCCCATCATCATCATCATCACCACCACCCCCATCATCATCATCATCATCACCACCCCCATCATCATCATCATCACCACCACCCCCATCATCATCATCATCATCACCACCCCCATCATCATCATCATCACCACCCCCATCATCATCATCATCATCACCACCCCCATCATCATCATCATCATCACCACCCCCATCATCATCATCACCACCACCCCCATCATCATCATCATCATCACCACCCCCATCATCATCATCACCACCACCCCCATCATCATCATCATCATCACCACCCCCATCATCATCATCATGACCACCATGTTTTCTTCAAGGTCATCTTCATCACCATCTTTATCATCATCACCATTTCTCGTGTCATCACCTTCATCACCTTCATCATCATCATCACCTTCATCATCACCGTCATCATCATCATGACCACCATGTTTTCTTCAGGATCCTCTTCATCACCAGTTTCATCATCACCATTTCTTCCTTGTCATCATTTTCATCGTCCTCATCACCGTCATCATCTTCATCATCATCATCATCAACAACCCCATCATCATCATCATGACCACCATGTTTCCTTCAGGATCATCATCACCATCTTCATCCTCATCACCATGTCCTTCCTTATCATTACCTTCATCACCTTCATCATCACCATCTTCATCATCATTATCACCACCACCCCCATCTTCATCATCATCAAGATTTCCTTCCTTGTCATCACCTTGCTCTTCTTCTTCTTCTTCTTCTTCTTCTTCTTCTTCTTCTTCTTCTTCTTCTTCTTCATCATCATCATCACCAATGCCATTTTCTTGTTAGCTACCTTCATCTTCATCCCTAGCTCCATCCTCATCACCACCTCTTCATCATCACCCTCACCCTCACCCTCATCACCAACACCTTCTCTGTTATCATCTCCAGCCCGTCCTCACCACTGTCTTCTTCACGATCATTTCCATCATGCGTGTCCTCTTCACCTCGCCACTGTCATAACCATCATATTTCTGAGTGAATGCAAAATACTCACCACAGTGCCCGGTATCCATGAGGTGACTCTGACGTCTTCCCCAAAAGTTTCATCACCCTATTACTGTGTCATCAATTCTTAGCCTCCTGCCTTGACATGCCTTGAAGTTTACATGTGAGATTTTCTTCCTGGGTTTCCTAGTCTTCCCCATCCTCCCGTCTATACTGGAGCAACACGGCTTTCAAATTTATTTTGATTTAATTCTACAGAACATGCTCTTGAAGAAATTGCAAATTAGAAAACACCTTTAAGAATCTGTACCCCAGCCAGGCCTTCGCTGCAGAAGGCTGGGGGATACACTTGCTTCTCTTCAGAAGCTTAAGTCTTTTAGGACAAAATGTCCAAGTTCTGGTTGTTAGCACTTCCACGTAGACCCCGTGCATCACCGGCACGTGCTCCACAGCTACCACGAGTCATGTGCTGTGAGCATCTAGCTGGACTACTGCCCTCGTATCCCTGAGCCGACGAAGGGGCCATAACGCAGGATCTGTGTTGTTTTCCTTCCCGATTCTCGGTTTCATCCTGCACCCACAGACGGGGCAGCCTGGAATGAGGGGAGACAGCAAAGGAGAAACGGAGGGTTGCCCTACAAGACACCCCACCAGGGGGTGGCACAAAACAAATCCTGAGCAACTGGAACCCAAACTCCAAAGACTTCTGGAGGCGCTCAGGGGTGGCTGGTGAGGCTCCCACTCAAGAAAAGGTTCCACTGCACTTCTGGGGGGTATTTACCGAAACAACATGGAAAACACTGATTGGCAAAGACACCTGTGCCCCTAAGTTCACGATTTACAGCAGTCAAGAGGCGAAGACAACACAAGTGCCCAATGTGGTCCAAAAGCAAGGGAATACTACGCAGCCACAAACAAGATGAACCCCTGCCATTGTGACACATGGATGGAACTGGACGGGCTGGCGCTAAGCAGAATAAATCAGACAGGGAAAGACAAACACCAGACAATCCCACTACATGTGAAGGAGAAAGAACCACGGAACTAACAACATTCAACCCCAAGGAAACTCTCCCGAGCTCCGAGAACCGAACGGATTAGCGGAGGGGAGGCAGCGGGGCAGGAAGGAACAGGTGGACGAGTTAATTCGAGCGGGTGGAGCTGCACTAGAATTTGGTGGCGGAGTGGTGGGACAGGTACGTGTGTGGAGATGAATTCCTGACACACGTGATCTCCTAAAACAACTGTCACCGACAGAAAAGCAGGGTCCGGTTTCCGTCTGCAAGACCCCATCCCCCATCCACAGGACCCCCCATTCTGTCGGAGGCCAGCACACCAGGAAGGTCCAATCTGAGATCAACTGTGGGTTCCCCTTATTGCTCCCCACTTGCTTTTCTCTTTGCAGGAGACACAGCTCTCCAGCCTCCCCCTGAACCAGCTCTGGGGCACGATTCCTTCACGTGGGTCAACGAAAAGCACAGGGCTCGGAAGAGATGCTGATTGTGTGCAAATTTCCGGGCGGACGGAGGCTGCAGATGTCCGAGCTGGAGAGTGGACGCCACTGGCGGGAAGGACACCCCCAGCCTCAGCATCCACCCGGTCACAGTCTCTGGGATACAGAGGGTGTTGCGTTTCCAGAGGGAGAGTAACAGGCAGAGGACGCCCTCCCCACGGAGACCACGGTGCTCGCTGCGTATTTGAAAGCACATCATTTTGCCCACTTTTGCTCCCCAATGCCCTGTTGCTTCAGGACTTAAAAGCAGGAAAATCAGGCTTTGCAGCCACCCCTCAAGGGTCCAGAGGACTGGCTGGTCAGTGTGTCCAGCTGCAAGTGACCACGGTGGCCCCAGACACCAACCCTTGCTGCACACGCATCCCTCACTACGTGCTCTGTGTGATCACGAGACCTGCAAGAATCTTAAACCTCAGTCACCCCCCTAGTCTCTGGTCTGAGTATCCTGGTGTCCCCCGCGCCTCCACCCCAAACAAAATCAGCCAGCGTGCAGAAGCCTGAGGGAGGGGCTCTTTCCCGGCATGCACGGCTGACCTTGCTGGCCACAAGGCCAACGCGTCCACTGCACGCAGACCCGTGGAGCGAGGTGCTGCAGACACCCCACTCCATCCCCAAACACAATCACCCCTCGGGTCCCCGGGCAACACCCTGCAGGCCACGCTGGTCACTCAAGCACCAGCCTCTGCTCTCTGGAAAGGCATCACTAGTTGGGGAGCCACGCAGCAAACTGGCCAGAGGGCTGCGCCCACTTACCCACACTCCAGTCCATCTCTTCGGCCGCGTCCCCATAGGCCCCGTGCTGGCTCCGGCCAGCGAAGTCCCGGGAGGCGAAGAGGGCCGTGTGCACGTGCAGGTAGGACAGCACCAGCAGGAACGGCCTCTCGGTGCTCCTGGGGAGACAAGAGTCCTGCCGCTCAGCGCCGGGCACCCGGGGGCTCGTGGCGCCTGCGTCCCTGCCGGCCGCCGTGACTCGGATTCCCTGCTCTCCCCGTGAGCTAAGAAATCGGCATCGCCCCGGCCGGGTCCAGCTTAAACTCTCCGGTAAACTAATCAGGTGGGTCCACGCGCCCTGGTCCCAGCCTCTGGCCACTGCTGGGCAGCGCCTGTGGACGGTCAGGCTGCAGCCTCCCTGCTAAGGCGCCTGGGACTCGGCAGCAGAAACTACTCACATCCACGTTGGGAATTTGCTTTCCGGCTGACCCCTTCTAAGGATGTGGTGGATGGCAGAACCCCTCTAGAGAGCACAACTTTGGGGGTGACGGGGGCCCCGCATTCTGCCTGCTAACACAGTGACCTCCCTTGAAATACTAACACCGTGGCTTGATGCAAAGCCTGTCTCATGGGCAAAGCCGCTGTCAGCCCACGTCTCGGAGGACGCAGAAACCACGCTAAGCTCCGCTCAAAGGTCTCCGTCCCGGGCAGCACCCAGACAGCCGAGCCGACCGAGCCCCCGCAGCGGGTCAGAGGAAATGCAGCTGGAGGGGGGCCCCCTCTGGGGAAGGAAGCAGCTAGAGAGGCCGCCACGGGGCGGGGAGACACCCACCGCTGGATGAACTGGACGGCGTCCACCGTCAGCCTCTGTGTGAGGTTCTCGTACGAGATGGGCTGCTGGGTGATGTCGCGGTTCCTCATGAGGAAGCAGTTGAGGGGCCGGAAGTAGTGCAGGAAGCACAGCAGCAGGCAGAGGATGAGGGCGGCGAGGAAGAGCAGGCACAGGAAGACCAGGCGGGGCACGTGCAGCAGCCCCAGGCAGTTGAGCATGCCCAGCGTGAGCACGGTGATGGCCAGGACCTGCAGCGGGATGAAGACCAGCACCTGGATGCCGGTGGCGAACACGCTGCCCTCGCCAGGCTTGCAGTCCCTCAGGTTGGTCACCGTCAGCCCGTAGAAGTAATCGAAGCCGTGGCTCAAAGGGTGGTGGCAGAAGTCGGTTTTGTTGTGGCAATTGGTGCCCAGGTGCCACTTCCCTACGAAGACAGGTGTGGGGGGGAGTATGTTAACGCCCGACCAACACCCCAGACTGGTTGGACTTGGGCTAAGGAGTGGGGTCTCCATGCTTGGTCATTAGCGAAAGTCCCACTCCATCACTCAGGTAGGCATCCAATACCAACCGTCCATCCATGCACCCATCCATCACCCATCATCCACCCACCATCCATCAAATATCCAACCATCCACCCATTATCCATCTATCCATCATCGATCCATCCATACATCACACAGCCGGCCATGCATCCATCATCCAACCAACCAATACCCAACCACCCACCTACCCATCCATACACCCATCACTCCATCCTTCAACCATCACCCATCCATCCATCCATCCATCCAATATGCAACCATCCATCATTCAACCATCAATCCACCCACTCACACACCCATCTATCCATCACTCCTCTATGTTTCCAATATCCAACCTCCCATCCATCTATCAATCATTCATCCATCACCCATCATCCATCCATCATCCATCAAATATCCAACCATCTATCCATCATCCATCCATCCATCATCCATCCATCCATCACCCAGCCAGCCATGCATCCATCATCCAACCATCCACTACCCAGGCATCCACCTACCCATCCATACATTCATCACTCCATCCTTCACCATCACCCATCCATCTGTCCATCCATCCATCCAATATCCAACCACCCATCATTCAACTGTCAATCCACCCACTCACACACCCATCTATCCATCACTCCTCTATGTATCCAATATCCATCCACCCATTCATCCATCATTCACCCATCACCCATGCATTTATCTAGCCTTCACTTATCATCCATCCACCCATCATTCAACCACCCATCTATACATTCATGTGTCCACCATCCATACTCAACCATCAATCCACCCACTCACACACTCATCTATCCATCACTCCTCTACGTATCCAATATCCAACCTCCCATCCATCTATCCACACATCATTCATCCATCAGCCATATATATCTATCCAATACCCAACAAACCATCCATCCATCCTTCATACATCACCCACCCATCTATCCATTCAAGATCCAAACATCCATCCATTATCCATCCATCATCCATCCATCACCCAGCCAGCCATGCATCCATCATCCAACCATCCAATACCCAACCATCCACCTACCCTTCCATACATCCATCACTCCATCCTTCACCCATCACCCATCCATTCGTCCATCCATCCATCCAATATCCAACCATCCATCATTCAACCATCCATCCACCAACTCACACACCCATCTATCCATCACCCCCTCTATGTATCCAACAGCCAACCTCCCATCCATCTATGCATCCACCATTCATCCATCAGCCATATATATCTATCCAATATCCAACAAACCATCCATCCTTCACACATCACCCACCCATCTACCCATCCAATATCCAACCATCCATCCATCTACCCACCCACCCATCCACTCATCTAATCCATCACCCATCCAACTATCCATCCATCTTATGTCTTTTCACTTTTTTTTCCATGAACACTAGGGTATTTATGAACTACTCACTCCACCAGAAAACAAGAATTGATATAGTGATATAAAAGGAAAAAAAAAAGAAAAAAATAGAGTGATAAAAACAAAACACAAACATCTAACACATTTAACAGGCAGGAGACAAAATGACATAGCTTTGGTTTGGGGGACAGGTGTTTCTTAAAGACAATTCCTTAAAAATTAAAGCCTCAGAAACGAATTAATTCTGTTCTCTGGCTGTTAAAAGTGGAAAATGAGTCCTTCCTCAAAAACTTCCCCTGAGGCATAAGGAAATCATACTCATAATTCACCAGTTATTTTAAACACCTATGAACATTTCTGATAAAATGTTAATTATACCACTAAATTAGTGAGTGCCTCGCAGAAGGAAAAAAAAAATGATTGTTTAAGTCAGGAAAGGAAGGAAAGAGAAAAGTCATTTGCCTCCTATGAGACTTTCTAGAATTCCCCTGATGCCCTATTAGATCCCAGTTCAACAAGTCAAATGGGAGGAGGCACAATTCCTGTCATGGGATAAAGTCCGTGGGGATGTCAACCGAGACACATGTTGACGCAATTTTAGTACCGAAATGCAACATGAAAAGCTTTATCAGTAGCTTGGTACATGTGTGTTCTTTTATATGCTGTGCTTGTGAATGTATATAATTACATTGATCTGGCTGTCTGGCTGGCTAACTATATGATCCATCATCTACCCCACTCTCTGTCTCATCCATTCACCATCCAGGCATCATCTATCCATGCATCCTTCCTTCCATCATCCATCCATCATCCATCCATTGATCCATCCAATGATCTATCCACTGATCCATCCATCATCCATCCATTGACCCATCCATTGATCCATCCAACATCCATCCATTGATCCATCATTGATCCATCCATCATCTATCCATTGATCCATCATCCATCCATTATACATCCATCATCCATCCATGGATCCACCCATCATCCATTCATTGATCCATCCATCATCCATCCATCATCCATCCATGGATCCACCCATATCCATCCATGGATCCACCCATCATCCATCCATGGATCCATCCATCATCCATCCATGGATCCACCCATCATCCATCCATGGATCCATCCATCATCCATCCATGGATCCACCCATCATCCATCCATGGATCCATCCATCATCCATCCATGGATCCATCCATCATCCATCCATGGATCCATCCATCATTCATCCATCATCCATCCATTATCCATCCATCATCCATCCATCATCTATCCATGGATCCACACATCATCCATCCATGGATCCACCCATCATCCATCCATTGATCTATCCATCATCCATCCATGGATCCATCCATCATCCATCCATTGATCCATCCATCATCCATCCATGGATCCATCCATCATCCATCCATGGATCCATCCATCATCCATCCACTGATCCATCCATCATCCATCCATTGATCCATCCATCCACCATCCATCCATCCAACCATCCACATATCGAATCCACCCTATCACCTACCTCATCTGTTCTCCATGTCTGCATTCACCCACGTGTGCATCCCTCAGTCTCAGTTTATCTCTACCTCCCTGCCTCCCTCCCCATCCATGTCATGAAACATGCCTACACACACCAGAGAAGTGCCCTACCTTGTACTTTAGAGTTGAAATCACTTCTTCCGGCTCAAAGTTGCGCCTCCAGAGTCATCCGTGTTGACCCTAAGAGGATCCTCTTACGCCCTCCCTCTCTCCCTGCCTGGCTCTTGCCTCCCTGTCCTCCGCTGCGCATACCTATGAGGGCTGTTGAGTAGCCCTGGTTCTTCAGCAGCTTGGCGAATGTAATCTCACTGGCGGGCAGTCCCCCGGAAGAGGCCGAGAAGATGAAGACCCCCACTCGGGAACGAGAAGCCATTCCTGCAGCAGAAGGAGCCAACCATCAAGACAGGGGCTGGGCAGGGTGTGCGCGCCCCGGGGGGACAGCCGCCAGAGCCTGGTTACCTGATCGGATGGGGTAGCGGCCGGTCATGAAGGCCGCCCGGCTCGGCGTGCACAGGGGCGCAGCTGCCAGGTGCTGTGTCAGCTTCACCCCCCCTTCCGCCAGCCGGTCAATGTTGGGGGTTCTGAAACAAGAGACACGTGTCATTCGGGGTGACGCTGACACCCCGTGTTCTCCGGGGTGCTCACGAGAGTCATGTCACGATGACCCAGCGGAACTGGGAGGTGTGGGGCCATGACTCAGAATGAGAACACAGCCAGCTGCGGTCTCTGTGGCCACATCTGACTGCTCCATCCCTCACCCATCACCTCGAGGGCTCTGAGCTCCTGTGTCCACAGCCCTGGGGTAGGGGAGCTTGGAGCTGGGCCATGAGGACCCCTCCCGGGTCCACTTCTGCAGGAAGATCTGGAGTCACATCTCAGGAGGGCAATGCGGACTTGCTGGGCATCCAGAAAGGAAGGTCTCTCCCTGGCTGCTCACCCTCCCTCCTTCAGTTCCGGGCAGAGACGAAACCTCACGGCCTCCTACGGCCCCCCACATCCAGTGCCCGTCTCACGACTGCCCACAGCCTGAAGGAGCGGCTCCATTTCTTGCATATGTCATGTCCAGTTATCTATTTGCTCGGGGGTCCATCTGTCAGTAGTTCCACTGTTTCTTGCCCTCAAATTACACGATGCTTCGACAGTGGACCCCAATCCTCTGTATCTATCTGACTGACTCCTCCAGCGCCTCCACGGCTCGCTGGGAAATCTGACGGTTGGGGCAGGCGATGATAAAATGTAAAATGAAAATTCCCACAGAGCTGGACTCTAACAAGGAGAACAAGTTCTGGAAGACACTGGCATGATCCTTCCTTGGGACCTTACACACGTTTAGCTTCCCTGTGATAACTGGTAGGAACGGAGAGCCGCCTCTGATCTCACGAAACTTCACGGACACGGATGACATGAAAAACAAGTCAAATGGATCCACGGGAATAGAAATTATGACTCCGATCATAAAAACTAAATAATGAACAAGCTCGTGTCGCCCACGGAAGTCCTGACCGAGCGGGGCAGAAAAGACTCACGGCTCGTGACGATTTTAAGGGGAGAGCGGGAGCCGGACCCCCCCACAACGTCACCACGTGATACACGGACACGGAAACATGCTTGGAAACAATAACCGGCAGCATTTGGCGCCAACAGCCGTGGTGGGGCCGAGATACCCCCCGGGCCTGTCTCCGCCGGCGTTGTCCCGAGAGCAGACTCCTCCACCAGCGCCACCCCGGCCCTGGACCCGCGCCCCCACCAGCCCGCGAGGCTGTGTCCCACGAGCGCCACGGCCACGGTGCGCGCGCCCCACACACTGACCTCAGAGTCTTGTTTCCGTAGCAGCCGGGGTCTCCGATGCCGAAGTCGTCCGCCATCAGCAGCACGAAGTTGGGCCTGGAGGCGGCCTGGCTGCGGGCCCCACACAGGAGGAGCAGCAGCAGCGGCGGCACCAGGAGGACCCTCATCTTCCTGCAAAGGGAGGGAGAAACAGACAGGTGAGGGCACTGAACCCACCTCCTCCTCGTCCTCCGGAACCTCGCGTGCTCCTGGCCACGGTCAGACACCCCATTCTGCAGCCCAGGGCCCCGGACTTTAGGACGGAGCTGCCCCAGGATTCTCTCCTCCCCGTCCTGTGTGTCTGTCGGCAAAACCCACGCTTTGTTTTCTGCGGAGAGCCTTGAGCTCCCTCCCTTGCCCGCGCCCGGAGGCAGCTGTGTTTGCGGAGCTGAGAGCGTCCCCTGGAGCACAGGACGACGGGCATTGGCTGAAGGTCCCGTCATAGATGCCACATCCCTGGTGGACCAGCCGAGTGTTGCAGCAGGAGCGTGTGTTTCTTATTTTATGTACATGTATGTTACATGTCTGTTCCACCACATGTGCCTCCCGTGCACCATGCCCCTAGTCCCTCATGGTCTGCCCACCCCTGTTTTGGTCCCTCTCCCACCCCTGCCCCTGCAGAATGTCTCTGATTTACACTTGCCTTTGAATTTCGGTTTGTGATTCATTGTTATTATTTCCTCCCAGACCCCTTATCTGGTTCCCCTACATTCCTCCTGGATGTGAAACCGTCTGATATTTTTCTTTCTCCAACTGACTATTTCACTGAGCATCATCCCTTCCAGCGCCATCCACGTCGCTGTGAATGGCATGTTCATCTTTTTGATGGCCGCGTAGTATTCCATTGTGTGTACAGACTACATTTTCTTGATCCATTCATCTATTTTTGGGCATTCGGAGTGTTTCCACGGCTTAGCTATTGTAACCAGAGCTGCCATAAACCCAGGGGTGCACGTGTCTTTTTGAATTAATGTTTCGTGTCCTTTTTGGGTCCCTAAGAGTGGAATTGCTGGGTCACATGGTAGCTCCATTTTCATAAGTTGGCGTGTGACCTCCACACAGCTTTCCATGGAGTTCACGCGCCCACAAGCAGCCGGATCTGGACGGCTCTGGACCCCGACCTCACCCCGACTCCTTTGCCGTGTCATCTAACTGGGGGGCCGGAGGGCAGGCTGGTGTGGCGAGGACATAAAGCAAACGTGCAAACCGATTGGTCTCCACCACGTCTCGGCTCCCGAGAAGGACCCCCTCCACCTGCAGGTGGCCAGGTGAGCCGAGTGTCCCCCGCGGGGGAGGCAAACAGTGAAACTAGCAGCTCGTCTGGGCCTCTGCTGCCCGGTGGCCAGGAGGGGCGGTAGGGAAATCCCCAGGCAGAAGCAGATGCTGTCCCAGTGTGTCCTGAACACCCCGCGAGGCAAGGAGGCAGAGACAGCACCCCAGGAAGGCCCTCCAGCACGTGAGGCTCCCACTCAGCTCTGGGGGACCCCGAATCCATCCCCGGAGTAAGACAATGGGGCTGCCCAGCTGGGACTGCGATAGGGGGCAGCGGAGCGAGTTTTCTATTTGATTTTCCACGTGCTGACTTCTCTGAATACTTCACGGGCGTGTCATTTAAAACTTAGCTTTAATTGTGATAAAATAAAATGAAATTAAGCCTCTTCTCCATTTTTAAGCGTGTGGCTCAGCAGCATTAAATGTGTCCCCATCACTATCTCCCATTTCTAGAGCTTCCTCAGCCTGTAAGACAAACTCTGACCCCATAAGCCACTAAGTGTCCATTCCCTCCTCCACCTGCCGGTTCCCACCAGCTCCCACCAGCTCCCGCTGGCTCCTGCCAGCTCCTACCAGCTCCCGCCAGCCTCCAATCTGCGTCCTGTCTGGGGCAACCTGAGCAATTTCAGTGTCTGGTCTGGGTGGGCTCAGGCAGGATTGTTCCTGTCTGGACAGGCTGACTTGACGCTGCATAATGTCCTGTAGGTTTACCCGTGTCGCAGCAGCTTCCCCTTCCTTTTCACAGCAGCGTAATATTCCACACAAGGCTGGAGCACATTGTGTGCTCGATGCTGATCATGTGTTTTTAAAATATAAACTCCAGCAATGGAGACACCACATCGTTAGCCACTAGGAACGCCAGGCCTGGGCCCACTCTGACGGTTCGGGATGTCCTGCTTTGGCTTTTTGCAAAAATGACAAGTTGCGCACATCCACCTATTTTGCACTAACTACATAACAGACGTGCTCATCGCACACGTGGTCCTTCTGAGCTGTATTTTGCCATTTTTGTCCCCGAGCCGAGACGCATCACTTGTGTTTGAGTCAAACGAAAACCTTCTTTTATTTTCTGCATTTCCCCCTCAAATTCTGAATTAAGAACTGAAGACATTCTCCAGTCACCGAAAACCAAAAACGTCCTGCTGGCACACGACACGCGGGCACGCATGTATGCACGCCTCCGATGGGAAACCGTCTCCATCATCTCATTTCTCCTCGAATTCTTAAATAACTCGAAACCAAAAATGCACTTTTGGCTGACGTGCAGAATAACAAACACACACTCCACAGACACGCGGATCAGAGAATGACAAAATATGACAAAACAAATCTCTACCGATGAACGGAGAAAGCCACCGAGACGTCCCTGAAACTCCAAGGCTCACCGAAGCCAACATTTCAGCGTCTGCCCAAACTTTACCAACGAGATCTTCATTGCCGCCGACTCGCTGTTTCCTGCAAATCCTTGCCTGTGGGGCCGCTCGCTGTTTACAGCCGCGGGCTCGCGTCGACGGCGAAAGATTCCCCCGTGCGTCTTCATTCTTCACTCTCCTCGGCAAATATTTGGTCCTATGATCACGCTCCCCGGAAGACATTCCATGTCACGGCGCTTTGATAGAGTGTTACTTTGCGAAGAACGTCTTTTGTAATGAGTGGGTTGCCTTCTGCGATGAGAGGTTGTTGAGACACGCGAGGGCACCGTCTTCCAGATCACACAACAAGGCCCGGTTCCCGGCCGGGGGCAGCGTCAGCCGGAGAAGTCCGACGTTCTCGAGTGGAGCAAGCCCTCGGGATGTCCCTGCAGCCCTTACATCCCCCCCACATGTGATACGGTGTTCGGGGGGGCGACGTGTGTCCATTAATAAGTAGTTCTTTAGGGGGTTTTCAAAGCGTCCCGCTTACACGAGGCGGCTGGAGCTACGGGCTGGAGCTACGGGCTCGGGCAAGACCCCAGAGGTCCACCTGGGTCAGCCGGCGCAGCACGAAAGCCCTGTCCAGAGGCGGCCTGGGGGGAGGCCTCATGCACAGCTCCTTAGTCTAGGCCTGTCGTCAGCCTCCCCGTGGAGGCCCTTCTCCACGCGTGGAGCCTTACCTGGTGGTCTCACTGACGACTGACTGACCCCGACGAAGAAATGGGCTGCAGGGGGCACTCGAAATGCCACCACCCTCTGCCGGGACTCCCACTCTCTCTAGGACTCTCGCAGCCCTCGAACCCTCTGCTCCAGAATGCAGAGTCCCCACCCTGGGGAGTTGTGCACCGTCGGTGAAATCCCAACCCCAAAGGGAGGGCCGGAGGAAGGAAGCAGGAGTTAGGATCTCAGGGGACTTATTAGGCCATGAGGGTGGTGCCCCTTGGACGGCAGGCACCAGAGAAGACTCCCCCAAATTCCCAACCAGCCAGAGGCCAGGACGCAGAGAGAGTGAAATCCTCCGCGTCTCACCGGTGGCCAGACCCCAAGTTCTGCGGAAGGGGTGTCTGCACCCCCGTCGAACCAGGTAGAACCAGAGGAAACCAAGTAACCCGACAATGAGTGCAGGGTGGCCAGAGGGGCAGGGCTGGGATACCTTCCAGGGGTAAACAGTGTTGCCTCAGTGCCCACCGCCGATTGCTGAAGAAAACCTCTATCTACACGTCCGGGACACACACAGGCATGCGTGTGGAGTGACACATGCCAGCCAGGGCCCAATTATAAACTGCAAAATCTTGCCAAGGACATACCCAACGACGTGCATTTATTCCACCTCTGCTCTGTGCAACGGACGAGGCCCTCAGCCCCACGACGAGGTCTAAAGCCCCAAATCCCGACGCTCTCCAGGGCAGGCAGAGACACGGAGCAAGGGGGGTGTCGAATCGTGCCCCTAATTCGGGGGCAAGGCCGGCAGCTTCTTGCACCACCAAGCAGATGAGTCACCAGCAACAACTGGAAACCGGCCACACACGGTCAGCAGGAAAACGGATTCACCGACGGCAGGGAAGAAACGCCACCCCACGGGCCAGAGGGGCCAGAGCGAGGCGAGATGGACCCTGAGGTCAGCCAGCAACAGGGGCGCCCGGGGTCCAGCCAGTCCGCGCTGAGGGCTGCTCGGCGCCCCCCACTCAGCCTGCTGCACCCGCACGAGCTCCCCCAGGGATAAGCCCGAGAGGAAGGTGCTCGTGAGCCGATAATTGGGCCCCGTGACTTAATTACGGAGCATTTGGATGCTTTGAAAGCACCGCCAAGGCCTTTGCATCCTCCCAAGGCGGGGGTTATAGTCCCTCGAAAGCCTCCCTGGCTGGAACCTCGCCCGAAGCCATTCTCGTCAGCGGCATCACAAGCAACACCAGGCTGCAAGACGTGCACACCCCCGGCGAGTCCAGACCCCATCAGTGGCCCAGACTTGGCTTCCCCTGGGTGCTGGCTGCGGACCCCAGGCCCGCCGGACCCGGCATACGATCCCCGCCCCGGCTTGGTCTCACCGTGAAACATCTGCTGCCGGCTGGTCCGCGCCTGCTCCTCAGTCCCCCCGTCAGCGCCACACGAGCACGAGCACGTCCGCCGGAGCCGTCATGGGGCGACCTCTCCCCTCTGCAGCGACACCCCCACCCCCGGCCCTGCCCTGATCTCTAGGGGGGACACGCTGGGCCTTCCGGGTCTGCAACTGGTTTCCGTAACCCCAAGCCATCAGCTGGCTGGGGCCCGGGGGTGGGGTGCGGGGTGGGGGCGGATCGGAGTCTTGCACACAAAACAACCCTCTTCTCCCGTCAGCTCTCAGAAGCACACGGTGTCCAGGCCCAGCTGGAGCATCCTGGGAGGCCGGGGTGTGCACAGAAAGCCGAGCCCAGCTGAGTGCAGGGAACCGGAAGGAGGTGCAGGGACTTGAGGCGACCTTATAGCCCTGGGGAGCGTGTGCAGTGCAGGGAGTCGCCCTCCTGGCCCCCCGAGTCTGGCATCACAGAATGCATCACTGCCCAGCAAGACCGAGGCCTGGACGCAGCCAGGGAGGCCCTGTCGGTTCTGGGGGGCTGGTTCTGATAGGAGCCCCAGCTCCCACACCCGAGGCTCATGCACGCGTCCCTGAATAAAACGGAGAGAACCCCCAGACAGCAGGGGCCAGCCCCGCTGCAGCAGACGCCTGGCCAGGCGCCCGGGATGACTCTCCTCTTAGGAATTCCAGGCATGAGGAGAAAACAATGGCTTTCCCCATCGGGCCCCGGGACAGGCACTGGAACAATGGAGCAAAACCGCAGGGCTGGTCCCAGCAGGATCCCGTCTGGGCTGTGGAATCCCAGCTCATTCCCCTCATCTGCTCTCCAGGAGCAGCTCCGGGACCTGCCCACATCCCGGCACCCCCCGACGCGGGCTCGGCCTCCCGAGGCTGCGGAGGCCGAGGCCCAGCCACATCCAACACCAGCCAGCCTGGCCCCCCGCACGCCCGGCCCTCGCAGCCGCTGGGCACCTGCGGGTGTCGCCTCAGGCCAGTGCCGGCTTTGAACCCGGGAAAGTGAACCCCGAGGGTGCAGATACTAAAGCGAGGCTTGGGATGTGGGCCCGCAAATGCACAGACACATCGCACATCGCACACTGCTCCCCGATTGCATCCAGCAGCACCCACTGGGCTGCAGCTCCCACTCGGCCTGGAGGCCGAGCTCTCGCCGGAGGGTCAAGGGCAGCGTGTGTGTGGGAGGGGCGGCACAACGCCCCCCAGCAGCCAGCACCCACATTCCCAGAGCCCGTGAGCAGGACGCGCCAGGGGCGAAAGGCAGCTGCAGATGGCAGGGACCCCGCCCGACGCCGCTGAGTGGACTTCCCGGGCGCTCCCTGGCAGGATGGAGATGATGCTCCTTGGGCAGCGCCGGTGCATGAAGGGTGAAGGGCCCAAGGCCCAGCAGGGCGTCCCCGCAGCTGGGAAAGGCAGAGGGAGAAAGGATTCGCCCCTCGAGCTGCCTTAGAACCCACGGGGCCAAGACCTCAGCTTTCCGCGCCCAGAGCGAACGCCAGGGCGGAGGAAGCACGGAGCAAACACGAATTCTGGAAGATGATTCCATACTTGAGGGTCTAGAGCCACGATGGAGGGTCCCCCGGCGTCCTGCACGGTGACGGAGCGGCGCTGTCTGCAGAGGCGAAGGGCATTATTGACCAATTTTCTCTTTCTGGCCTAGAGGAATGTCCTTCGGAGGCGTATCTATTGCGGAGTCCACTTTGTTCTCAGGATAACGGGTCCGATGCTGACTTTAAAAAGCAAAAGTCACAAACAACCGAGGCTGGAAAAGGCGTCTGACTCACGACGGGGACCGCACGTTAGCTGGGCCTCCCGCCCACCACCCGCCCGCCTCGCAGGCCCTCAGAATAAATCATTCCCATCGCCGGCTCCCCACCGGTGCGGGAGGAAATACGGTGCCACTAAACCCGCTGGGCATGTCCCCTCCGGCTCTGCAGAAATCCCAGGACTGCCGGAGACTCCGGGGTGGGGGGAGCTCAAGCAAAGAACCGGCCTTTTAAAATCTTTCCATGCTGGAAACGTGACGCGCTGGGGAGTTCGCATCCCGGGTCCCCACGTTCAGAGGCGCTTTCGATGAAAGCCGGTTAAGAGCCGCGGCGCCCGGACGGAGCATCAGGGCCACCGCTCCTGATCAGCGTATTATTTTCAAATCAGACGGCCGGACCCCGCACGAGAAAACCGATCTAGTTCCACATGTGACGATGTCCTTCCACGTGGTGCCATGAGGCCTTGACGGGCGGCGTGGACGCGTTCCCGGCTGCCTCCAAGGACCCTACCATGTGCCGCTGAAACCAGGTAGGGCGGGACTTTTCCCCAGCACCCAAGCCTCAAACACAAGGTTTAACAAGCGCTTATTAAAGAAGAACAACCCACCACCCACGAGCAGGTGTCACGTTCTACGTGTTCTGGCCACAGGCGAGTAGGGCCGCGAATGGGGTGTCTGCCCGCCACGCCACACGTCTGAGCATATCCTTTTTTTTTTTTGGATGTTTTTAGCTGCGTCCCTCACCCGCCAGTGTCCACAAGGCGCCGGCACGGCCCTCGCTAGCTGAATGCTCAGACCCCGTCCATCCAGACCAGGCAATCTTGCCAAGAAGAATTCTCACACCGTGGGAAGGCACAGGGGCCCGTCAATGCATAATTGTTAGGGGGAAAGGCTGTCCTAAAGCTGATCCCATACAGGCTTCGTGGACGCCACCCCCACCCCAGGCCAAAGCCAAAGACACTGGGGACTCCACATCCCATCCCCACCCAAGGGAAGGGGGCTGGGACCTGAGGGTGGGGTTCAGCAGCCAGGTGGGTATAAAGCCAGACACGTGGGCTTTGGAGGGGTCCCCCATTTTGGCTCTCTACCAGCTCATAGCGTCCGGCCAGCTCTGAGAGGGCCTTTGGGTTTCCAGGTCGGCGGATCGGGTAGGACGCATGAAAGACTTTATTTCCCTATTTTCTCCCTGAGTTGCCCATTTTCCTTCTTTCCTTTTCCCTTGTCAATAAACCTTTTATGAAGCTTTTGCGTGTCCTGCAGTGGAGTGTTAGTAAGTCCCTTGTAAGCGCGCGGGTGAGGACCCACAGCCAGGAACCCGCTCAATATCGGGGCTGCCCTATAACATTACTAGTAAGAAAACCCCTGGAAAATGCCCTGTAGTCTGCAATTGCAGCTGTGTAACATTCTGGAAACGCCAGAACAGGGGGACAGCAGGAAGATCAGCGGCTGCGAAGGGGCCGGGAGGGGACAGGCTGGACGCGCGCTCATCCGTGCGACGTTTGGGGAGCGGCCGTGACGGCGTCTCGTCGAAGGAAGTAGCTTCACCCGCTGCTTTTACAACCAGAATGAAATCACCTCTGCCGGTCCCGAAGCCGGGCTGTGCGGGCCGAGGAGGAGCTAATGGGTGCGGACGTCTCCGTAAACCAACGCAGGGCTTGAGGCGCCTGCAGGAGTCACCTTGCGAGGCAAGTCCTGCCTCTGGAGCTCCCTGAGGCCAGAGGTGGGCACACCTAGGCCAGGGAGGTGGTGCCGAGCCTGAAGGCCAGGCAGAGAAGGGGCTCCGTCACCTGGAGACTCACGGCGGTGGGGCCGAGCCAAGCAGAGCCTGCCCAGCACCGCCCGCTGGCGCGACCGCCGGGCGAGGCCCCCGGAAGGCCAGCGGCCACCCGCACACCCTCCCGCGAGCTCTCCGTGCACGCAGAGCACAGAGGGTGCAGCACACACGCTCTCCAGGAGCCCCGAATCCAGCACTGGGAGGACATGAACGCCCCCCGCGGGGCTGGCTCCACGCCGGGAAGCTCACACGGTCGTTGCCATCGGGATTTGAGGACCAGCTATTCCGGCCCCACGTCACGTCAGCTGCTCACGAATTAATCACGAGCCTCTCCCGTCAGATGCTTCTATGTGCCGCCCAGCCTGCCGGTTTCCCTGCGCTGCTCTAGATGCCTCTAAAGGCCGCCACTGTCCCCCTGGCCCTCTGCACAGCACAATGACCACGGAAGCCTCTCCAAGCCCTTCCCTGCAAAATGCACAAAACCCTCCTTAGGGGCCGCAGGCTCCGAGGCCGGATCAGGAATCACAGCCGCTCCCCGTGGGGACAGTGGCCTCAGAGCGGAAACTGCTCCTGAAGCCCCTGGAAAAGTTTGTTTTGGAAAAAGGAAAGGCAGAGCCGGTCCTTTGAGAGAACAGACCCCAGAGAGCACACGGGGCCGAGGGGCGGCGCGGCCGGGGACGGGCACCGCCGGGGTGTCGGGTTCCCGGGGACGCCTGCCCGGCAGGATCCTCCGCCGCGGGGTTTAGATTTAATAGGAAAAAGCTGCGGAGAGGTCGGGGTCTTGTCTGCTCTTTCGCTCCAGTTCTAGCTCAGATCCCTGATGACCACGGCACCGAGGGTTTGGATGAAGGGACGCCTCGGGTCCCCCCGCGGCAGCGCTGGCTTGTGGGCTGGTCATGTCCCTGTTGGGGACAGCGGCCCCGGCCTCCGTCCAGCAGGCGCCAGCAGCAGCCCCCCAGAAGGCACGAAGACCCCCAGACATTGCCGCGTCTCCCCAGAAGACCAAGGCGCCCTGCCCGAGAGCTGCCCTCCGTCAGCCCAGACCCCGAGCTGGCCACAGCCTCCCTGAAGCCTCGTCCACTCATCCCCTGGCCAGCGCGACTGCCCAGCGGCCATGGCAGGTTCCCAGCGCCCTGGTCACCGCTGGCTTCTCACACCCAGCCCAGGGCGACGGCAGCCCCTTCCTGCTCTCCGGCGATCCCGGGCCCCCCAGGTCAGCAGAGGACGCAAGCCCGTGATCTGGGGCAGGTTTCCATGGACACAGCGGGCAGCCCGGCCGGTCCTGATACTCACGGTGACGGTGGGCTCGTCCCGGGCGTCCACACGGCCTCGACGCTCACGCGGGCCGCCTGCCTGGACACTCAGCAGGGACCCTGCG